AGTACTTGAAACACAACATAGCAGAAGGTCAAAAGCATTTTACCTGTAAAATCTACCTTGTGATCTAGTTGGGAGTGGGCTTTTTGCAAAATTTCACATCTCAGGACCTTTAGGGTAAATGAATAGACTGCTAACAAGGGTTTGAAGAAAACTAGTATACATATTTATTGCTATTCTACATGAATTATCCACTGTGATTTGGGATGGTGCTGAATCTACTCAATAGAACTCTTTGGAAGCCCCAAGATCCTGTTTTTTCAATGCTAGCCTGGAATTGTCACAGCAACCAACCTTCCTTAACTGGAACCTCTTCGTATAAACCCCACAACCGCAATTAGAATTATATAACAGGTATTATTCATTACTTTTTACATACTTGGAATAATTACTTTGTTAAGACTTTGACTCACAGATCTTAGATGAGCAATAAGTGCAGTGAATTAGTTTGCAAGAAAACTGCCTTGTAAAGCCCAATGGAATTCGAGATGAAGGATTCAAGGTGACACTTGCTCTAAATTCTTAGAAGCTCTAATTTATTCCATTCTGAACATGTGGTGAAAGATCAACATGCATTTTATTAATACGATATTATAATGCCCAACATACAGACATTACAGGCCACCTGAATCCACTGATATAGATCAACAGTAAAGAGAGTTGTAAACGTCATTGGATTATTTGTTGGATTTATATTTTGTCTTTCTAATGGGACTCAGGGTTGCTCCCAGTAACATTATATAAACGTACAATGTTGAAGTAGTGACTAAAGTCACAGTTCAGAACATTTAAAAACACAAACACAGCACTAGGAAAAATATATCACCCAAATTCTAACCAGCTCCTTCAACATCAACCACTCAGTGGCCAAAAATCTACCTTAATAAAACTAAAGCTCTCTGGCTCCCAGTATATGGGCCAAAGGGAGAGAATTCCTTATTAGGGAATTCCAGAGCTGGTCTTGCTGCTATTGCCTGTGGATTCTATTTCTAAGGGGCCAGTTTATCATCTGCAACTTTTGTCGTCTTTTTACTGACAATGTAGTCGATAGCAAGATGTGAAAAACAATATTGTCACAGACAAGCTTTCATTACTTGTTCCAACCTGATTATACTTACTTTCAGAAGCATGGCATTCCAACTGATATGGGATATGCTGTAGCACCACACCATTCTGGTGTCTATCCTGTTCATGTTCAGCTCTATGATGCCTGGAAGAAAGTCTGGAATATCAAAATCACGAGCACAGAAGAATATCCACATCTAAAACCTGCACGGTTCAGAAAAGGCTTCATCCACAAAAACATAATGGTGAGGTATCTTATTTCAAGTTTTGAATGTTCTGGTAACATTCCCAGCTTCTTGTAAGTAATCTTAAAGGAGAAGATTATTGTAAACCTTGTGCATACCAAAAGATCACATTGACTACAAAAGTGGCCCTGAAAATTCATGCCTTACTTACCTCCAGATTAGGTTATTACAACGCTGTCTATGTCAGTTGCCTTTGATTACGGTCTGAAATACAGTCGAAAATAAATGAGAGTTCTGATTGGGGCCATTGACTGGAACATATAACTTTCATTCTCCATGATTTTTTTTAATTTATTTTTTTGCAACCTTTTTGTTTCTGGGTCCAGTTCAAGGCAATGTTGTCGATTTACAAGGTCATGTTGTTGATCTTGCAGCTTCAAAGGACTCATGAGGGTGGATTTTCATGCTGTCTGCACCCTGATAACCCTGTCCCTGCTCTGAATTTCACAGAATGTGTTCCACTGCTGCTAGGGTTATGGCTGATAGATATGAGACACAAGCATTTGGTAGCTCGTTAAAGCTGCAGTTCAAGTGGTTGTGGTGGCCTTCTCTACTGCTATAATTTATGTTCCTAGTGTTGATTCATTGTTTTGGTAGTGCCCTGCTCATGTAACAACCTGAAACCATGTACGGCTGTACATATGGTGTAGATAGAGATACACTTTTAAATTGTGTCTCCAGTTTTCTTCCCACATCTGGAGTTTGCATGTTCAGTATAGAGGTCTGAGTAAATTCTTGTAAGGAGAAGTCTGGGGGTGGGACTTGCTTGAGTACATGCATAATAATTTTAAAAATTTCCATCTCTGCATATTAGCATATACAAAATTTTATAGCTCTGTCAACTTTTTATTTTTGCTCTCTTTTTGGTGATACATTTCTTCTGGTGGGAATGATGTGTAAATGGCCATCCTAGACCCAAGGAAATCACCTAACAATGTTAGGGGCATTTAACTCTTACAGTCCATGTATTTTTTCATTAACAACATTGTAAATTAAAGGGCTTGGCATCAGCTAGACTAAGCTCTTCCCTCCCATACTTCTTTGTTTAATGTTTTATTTCTATTCAGGTTCTTCCTCGACAAACATGTGGTCTTTTTACTCATACAATTTTCTACAAGGAGTATCCAGGTGGTCCAAAAGAACTTAACAAAAGTATACAGGGAGGGGAGTTGTTCTTCACAGTTGTCCTCAATCCAGTAAGTAATTCAAATATTCAAAGAAAAATAATCAATAAATGTATACTGCTAGGGGCCAATCTTTTTTTTAAAGTTCTGAATTTCACGGCCATGGTTTGGTTTGATTTTCAACCTTGTTTTTGACATACACATCTCTGAAAATTTCCACATTGGATGAGCCCACTAAGTGGTCCTACAGTGCAATCCTATGCAAGTCAATTCAGACATTGTGTTGATTTCAGTGTAATCTATCCCTAGATAATATGTATAGGGTTGAGCTCTGATCCTTTACAGCTTGTTCCTACAAAAGCAAATCATAGGGTACATACGGCCCTCCTGTCATATTGGAATGCCATATTATTTCACCATTTGCTGTATTGGGTAAGACTAATCTGGAGAACCACATGTACCCTTTTGCTGCTTAGATAATCTACTAGAGGTCACCTGAATCCATTTGATGAGCATTGCAGAGAAACAAAATCTGGAGAACCATGTGTACCCTTTTGCTGCTTAGGTAATCTACTAGAGGTCACCTGAATCCATTTGGGATGAAAAATAGAAGTGCTCCCTGTGATGACTGTGCAAGTCCAGGAAGGCTTTCTGTAGCCACTGAGCTATTCTGTTTGACCTGGGGCAGATGAACCCAGGAGAGTGAGATCCAGGAAGGCTTTCTGTAGCCACTGAGCCATACTACTCTGTTTCACCTGGGGCAGATGAACCCAGGAGAGTGAGTTGTCATTAGGACTACGGAACCAGCCTGCCATCTGTGTCAGGTTAGGGAGTCTGATGCCTGAAAATCTCCCTAGGAGCCCTACAAAATTTAATGGACCTCTATGGAAAAATCAGAAACCACTGTTCATCACAGCTAGTATTTTCCCCAGAAGGGTTAATTCCTGAATGAAATCAGACCATTTCTAATCATATCAAAATTCATCTGGTTATAAAAGTACAAGTCTTTTCACTGTTGCAATGATTCTAGGCAACATCAGCTTGTCTAACTATACTAGCTTTATTCATCTACATTGCTTCTATGTTCCATAGGCACAAAATACTTCAGAGTTGTTGGAAACATCCAAAATTCTTAGGTAAAGGTTCCCCTTGACATTTAGTCCAGTAATGTCTGACTCTAGGGCGCGGTGCTCATCCCCATTTCCAAACCGTAGAGCCAACCTTTGTCCTTAGACAGTTTCCATGGTTACGTGGCTAGCGCGACCAGACACGGAACACCGTTACCTTCCCACCATGGTGGTACCTATTTATCTACTCGCATTTATGTGCTTTCAAACTGCTAGGCTGGCAAGAGCTGGGACAAGCGATGGGAGCTCACTCCGTCGTGTGGATTTGAACTTATGATGGCTGGTCTTCCGACCTTGCTGTTTAACCCGCAGCGCCACCAAGTACCTAATTCTTACAGCTGTGGAAAAGCTGTAGGCAGAAATACTTGAAAATACATGAACACTAAACTTAAGTTGTAGACATTAAGCCACTCGGTTTTACTGGGTATAAATTACTGGATCTAGTAAAATAAGATAGAGCAAGTTATTGGATCGGCAAACACTACCTGCTACTCCTGTTAACATATTACATAATACAAACCAATTATTTCAATACCCTTTCAATCCTCTCCTTAATTTACTTTTTATCATTTGTAAACATGTTCAACTGCCAGGGGTGAAAGAGATTCTTTTGCAGGGGAATGTTATTGTACAATGGCCTTGCTTCCAGACTTGTCTGGAACTGACTGATAGTTTTGCAGAAACTTCTAGTAAACTGTTATTCAAAGCTCATATTTAAAATACCCTGTATATTTTCAGGACTGCTGTTTCTACCACACGCACGAACCTTAATTATTTTAAGGAACATTCAAAATTCTAGAACACCTGAAGTTTGTGTGTTTTGCTAAAGACAGTAAAAAGACAATAAGGTTTTTTAAAAAAGGTTTCAAAAAGTATTTAGAGCAAAAATACAATTGAACACACCAGAAAATAAGAAAATTAAACTGTTCTACCTAATACTCAGTAGCATAGAAGTCAGCATGGTCATGCCCAAAGTACATCCTCCATACCAGAAAAGCATCATGATTCATAAAGCCCATAAAGTAGCTTCTGAACTCCTTTTTATACATTAAATGTTCCATTCTAGCCAATGATCTTCCAACTAGGCTTTGAATTCCTTCAAATATTCCAGAAGACCAGAGCACTTTCTGTCCCCACCTCCTTTTCTCCCAATAAGTGTAGTACCAGGAAACCAGTCAGATTAGGTTTGAAGGCCTCTCTCGGATGAGATGAGTTGGCAATATAACCCTCTCTTTGTTAGCAAGCAGACACCATTAGCAGTTTTCAGCCAACTTTCCAAGTCACACACAAAGAAGCTTCATCTTTTTAAGATGGACTCAGGTTCCCCAATTTCTCATACTCTCCTCTAATTTAAAATTCTAAATGGTTATTAAATTGAGGTTCTATGTCTTTATCACGCTAGGATGTATCTGCCACTTCCTTGGTTGCACGTCTCAAAATGTGTGGGTTAAAGGACTAGACCTTCCTTTCACCTCATAAAACCTTGAGCATTTTTCCATTCTGTCAAGTTAAGCATTAAGCCGGTGGTGCTGAACCTTTGTCCCTCCAGAATCTTTGACCTGCAGCTCCCATTGAGCATGACAAATGAGAAAGGACTGTGAAAATTGTATGCCAAAATATCTAGAACTCAGCTCTCACAGTTCCTAGCCATTTGCCATACTCATTGTGGCCAATAGGGTCTGTACACCAATGTTTATAGTTCTACATTAATGGATAAAGCAAACATCTTCTTAATTATGCTTTCACTAAGCTACTGGCTTAACTGATAAAACAACCTTCCTTTGATAGTGAACACACTATGTTATATTTTTTTTATTTCCTAGCTTTATTTTTTTCTTTAATACCTTGTGTAGATAAGTCAGTGTTTAGGAAGACAGTGAAAGACTGTTAGATGTTTACTTGAGAGTGCTTTCTGTTTCTTCTTGCCGTCAAATGTACCTCTTCTTTATCGCAAGTCACAGACTATTTCATATAAATACATTCTTAAACTTTGCCTGCCTGAGTAATTAACACTCCATAGTTGAAGAAAGTAGAGGGTTTTTTCCCCTTTTTATTTTTGACATGAATCTAACATTTAGCATTTTAGGTACCAATTTACTTCACATTGGAGTACCTCCAGAAATGGCTGTTTGGCATGCCGATATTTCTTCTTTTTTTCAGGAAAATGACACTATTATACCCAGTGATGGCATTTCACTTTGACAACACTGTCCTGGTTTTTGAATGATAGGGCTGTCTTGCTGAACCTTAATGAGAACAACTCTGCCTTTGGGGTTTTCTGCTGTTTCTGTTTGTTTTTTTGAGCTAACCCACTGCTAAAACATAAGGAAGTTAAGGTCTTAAAGCCTTAGTGAAGTAGTTAATTGTTGCTGCAGTAACCCCTTAAAGGCATAAGTGATGGCATAGTTCATTGTTTTGAACTATGTTATGTTATGAGCTTTGAGATCTGACAGAGTCCATGCATAGGTCCCTAGTGAGATGAAAGAATAAGTTTGCAGAAGGTGGATGCACTGAAAGTTCTCAGGGCGTTGTCTGGCTTATGGAAATTTACATCACAGGGACGATCTAGAATCTTTGTTTTATTAGTTCTTAGCTTCTACAGTATAAAGTTCTCAGATCCAGTAGAGACTAACATTGCAGAATCACTTCTTTGCTCTTGCATAATTATTTTTGTTTTTGAATATAAGTATTTTTGTCCTGGTACATTTACTATCCTTAATTGCTATCTCACTGCTCCTTTTGATCTATCTTCCAAGTGTGAACTAGCAGAAGAATAAGACCTAGCAAACAACTCCAGTGGTACCAATGTGTCCGTGATACTTTTAAATCCAAGCAAAGTTAGATTCCCAAAGAATACTGGGTTGGATCCTAACATGAACCATGGAACTTTGCTTGGGGATGGGTATGCAAAGACATGTCAGATGCAACATACACTAGTTTACCCTTCTGCTACTGCATCTTGCATCCCACAACAATCTGGGCTACTCCAGAACAGCTTTGTGATGACACAGGAGGCTCTAATGAAAAGGAGGGAATTAGCTAGAATTTCCCCATTCTGAACAGAAGGACTCTTGGATTCATCCCAGTGCACCGATCCGTCTTTGTAGGATAAATAGGATAAAGTAACAGAACTGTACTTGTGTACAGTGTTTCAAAAGATGAGATGCTACCAGTCTCCTAAGGGCATTGTGAGAATGAAGAAGAAACTAAACATTTAGGTTTGCAACCAGATATGTGCAGATAGAGTACCCTGCAGTTCAGTAGTATATTTGTTTTGTAAGTCCTCCTAATAAAACATGACAGGAAGACATTATCAGTCTCTCTGAGCCTGCAGAAGAGCAATTGCACCCAAGGGCCAAGTTGAGTTCAGAATACAAACGCACCTGTCTATAAATCTAGGGGAATACTTCTATGTCTGTTTGTTTTTCAAATGTTGTGTAAAGGTGCTATATCTTACCTATTACAGGTACAAGAACATTCTTTTCCCTTATGCAGTAACTGTTTATGTTAAACATATGTGGCAGATGTGACATTTTGTAGATGGATGGATGGATGGATGGATGGATGGATGGATGGATGGATGGATGGATGGATGGATGGATGGATGGATGGATGGATGGATGGATGGATGGATGGATGGATGGATGGATGGATGGATGGATGGATTTATTTATTTATTTATTTATTTATTTATTAAACTTATATACTGCCCATCTAGAACGTGTGTACTCTGGGTGGTTTACGTAAAAAAAAATAAACTAAAGGTAAAATACAAATTAATCACAGAGTCCAAGTTGGGAAAAGAAACTGAGGTTAAAAAGGAAAGAAATAGGCTAGGTGATGGCTGCAGGGGAAATACACATTTTAATATACATTTTATTTATTTAGATTTAATATACATTAAAAATGTACATTTTTAAAACTTAAATGGACCGAACCATTTAG